TGAACACAACCCCCATACGACCCAGCAACAAGAACCAGTGGCAAGGATCCCAGGCGGACCCCAAACAAAAAAGTACAGGACACAAGACAGAGCACGGACAGGTTAATCACTATAATAATGATAAATAATTTGTAACTGATAAGGAATTCAAAGAAAACAATTAAATGATTAGATAATAGGAAATAATTTTTAACTGATAAGGAATTAAAAAACAAAACAAAAAAAATGATTGAATAATAGGCCCACAAAGTCAAAGGGCACGAGGGAAGGGGACAGGAGACCGGGGGAAGGGTGGGGGGGTATGGGTTAATCAAAGAAATAAAAACTAGGGGCAAAGTGGAAGATACTTACCGTGGACGAGAAGACAACAAGGGACACAAGCAAAAGTGTCACCAAAACAGTATGAAACAACATAGATATACATCTGAGGAACACAGAGGGCCGCCGCCTTGGAACAGTCAGCAGCACAAGTACTTCTGGAGAGTTTAAACCGGTTAATGGTGCACTATTAAGAAGGTTTATACTATAAAAGTTTTAAAGAGGATCATATGTACAAATAATATTCCAAAATGTCATTGGATGATATTTGTATTCAAATTTAGAACAGCGAATCATAAACCTTCAGTAGTAAAAGTCGGAAGACACGAACGGTCTCCATATAATGAACTTCTTTGCATATTGTGTAGCGATAATCAACTGAATTGCATTTCTTGGTTTGAATCACTATTTTAGTCAAATAACAAATATGTATTAGGGAGCCTCGTGAAATTTATTAACGCTATTATGAAAATTTCTTTCACAAACTTAATATCTCCATATTTCAGACAATAGCTCATTTGATATTTCTCATCATGCTGTAATTTGTTTTGCCCGTTTTTTTATTCTATTTTTCTCATCAATATTTTCATTGTACATTGTTTGTAATATCCTACATTTCAAAATAATGGCATGTTACATTTTAGAAATACCGGTTTAGATTATCAATATATAAAAGCTTTAATTTGATATAATTCACATTTCACAGACAGAGTCTTTTCCAAAATCTTCAAGTCATATATCTATGCATATCATAATGCTACTAAATATATGATTGAAATTACTTTTAGTTTTAAGATAGATAACTGTCATGTTCGACATCCAGGTACAGAATTATTTTAAACACTTTCTACCTTCTTGCGTCAATGGCTACTAAATGTCTCTACTGTATAAAGTTACAGCCCTGTTCAAAAACTACAACAATTGACATTCTCCATATTAATTTTTCAAATGCAGTTAAAAAAATAAATTGACTGAAAGAAAATCAACCGCTGCTCGATATTTCATAGTTTAGAAAAAACATATTCGTAAATATTATTTACTCTCTAGTTTCCATTTTCTCAGGTTTCTATCGATAGTTTCTAGGCACTGTATTGTCTAAATTGAATATTATACAATTTGTCTTGTATCGGAACCATTAATTCTCTGTAATATACACAATTTGTTATGTTCCAAATATTGTATTAAAATGCGTTGGCGAAAAAAAGATTCGTTCCGTTCTTCTGTCCGAACTTTTGTTATATACCATATGTCAATTATCCATGTTGATATTTTGTTATTTATCATATGTTAATTTTGTAAATAAATATTCTTTTTTCAGTATCATAAAAATAAACACATCAATATTTATAGCTCAAATGGTAGCTTTCCATGTAATTATACAAGTAAAGTTTCTTTTTAAACCTTATAACCACTGACTTCCAGAACTCCATCTTATTTGTTCAGCCTATCGTTTTCTAGTCGAGTGAACAAGCATCATACGTTTATATGTTTTTCATGTTTCAATAATTTATACTACTCAAGCCGGGGCTTTATGCATCATAACTATTGAAATCATTCCGCATTGAAATTCAACACTGTGGCATGCGAAGGAAAGATTTTTTATTGGCTGATACGACTTAAATTTCAGATTCAACAAGTATGTTTGTCTGCATATGTATATTGTGAATAATGTTTGTTTTAACTCGTGACATGTATATAGTAATTATTACTTTTTTCATAATTTTTTAATGTAACCTTTAATAAGTCAGTGTTGTACAATAAGAAAAAATGTAGAAATTTATTACTTTAACAATAGGTTCTTTTTCAACTGAAAGAGACAGTTACACTAGAAAATGTTAAAGGTATTTCCATTCCGTTGTTCAAAGCCCATTAAATGCTATCAAGTATTTTTTCTCTAATTTAAAAGTAAATAAATTTTTGTTAAAGATTTTATTATCACATTTACATAATGTTGTCAATTTATTCATAATCATGTTCTGATCATGTAACATTTCTATTTACAGTCCTACGCATAAAGCCTTCCAGCCTGCTCAATCTCAGTAAGGGCTTATCAGCTAGTAAATCACTATTAACTGTTTACATCCCATTAACACGTCCACTGAGTTGAAGTTTTGTCATCCCTTATTTGAAGTACAACACTAAGGAGCAAGAGCTGCGTCAAAAACGTGCCAGAAGTGGAGTGGTCGACACTAAACGTGGGACCGCGGCCCCAGCTAAGAAGCCGACTGCAAAGAAACCTGCGGCCAAGAAGCCAGCAGCAAAGAAGTAATTCAACACTCAACACTCGAATGATTTTGAAGTACAACACCAATTAAAACTAAGATGTGCAAGCAAATCTTAATGTGTGAAGGCTACTATTTCTTGAATTCGTAAACATTAAGTCTAGATGTAAGGGATAAGACATGTTCTATTTTGAAAATATTGTCGTACAGATTTCTACAGACCTCCCACAATGACAAATAACAGATTATCAAAGTATCTCCTGATAATGGGTGTAATAAATGAAATTAGGGCTAAAAGGTAAACATAGTTGAAAGATGGGGTAAAAATGATGTTGAAAAACTCTTCAGAGACGCAAAGTTGTGGAATGTGCGAATGCCAAATTGTTCGGAAAATGATTATGTCACGGTATTGAACTGTTCTCTAATCAAGGGAGATAGTTTGTAGGCGGCCGGATAGCTCAGTCAGTAGAACCGCAGTATGGTATTCCGATGGTCCCAGGTTTGAGTCGCGCACATTAAAAAATATAACTTTTTTTTAAAAAAAACCCCAAAACAAATTGTAGGTGTTTCAATCATAACCCATGGAGAAACAAAAATTAAGTAAGTAAAGTATGTAAGAGATCAATTGGGAGAGAACCTTTTTTCTACAGTGCAGAATTACTATCTGAATGCAAGCGTTGTATTGCTTTGAAAATTGTACATTTTATCTCTAATAAGTGTTGTACAACTCAACCCTACCGTCTGTTGAGGCCTTAAAGATGTTGTTTTTCCTAAAATACACTCACTTTTATCAATGTTTTTTTTCTCCATTCTTTTGTGAATGGGTCTGCGGCCTAATTGAATTGTAAAACTTCGCAATTATTTGTGAATATTCTTTGTATCACAAGCTACATTTTAGCTACTAAATGAATTATATGTTTTAACATAGCTTTATAAGTGATTTTCTAAAGAAATTAAGTTCCATAGTTAAGTGTCACTGTTACTTATGTTACTGAGTGACCCCCTACTCCCCACAAAATACTGTTTACAGATGTATTTTTTTACTGCAAAATACAAGACTCTTAACTAAAAGACCAGATATCTGATATTGTTATATGTTTCTTATCAACACCTATATCATGTGCGATTAGATTTATAGCTCTTGCTCCTGTTTTTCTAGAATTATCTCCATTTCATTTTTGAACTTGTAATTTATCAAAAATTAATATATTAAAGTATTATCTATGTTACTATAAATGATATCTACTCTTTGTGACAGGTGAACTAAAAAAATAATATTACTCACTTAGGCATGATTTGCCTTTAATAAGAATATAATTTACACAAGCATTTACATAGTGAGTTGTTCTCTATATCCTCCATCGTATCTTGGCACATGATAGGATCATAAAACATTCAAGGGTGCTGCTATCAGCGATACCGTGACAAGCCATGTGATTATAATTAAATGCTAATCACTGGTCAGAGATAGGAAAGTTTTGGGGAAAACATTAATAGGATTTAATTTAATGTTAAGTGTTTTTTATCTTAACCAATGACATAACCAGAAAGCATTATTTATTTATAGGCACGTTTTATTATTGTTACCGAGTAAAAAATCTCAATATGATTGAATTAGTTGCTTAGGGCCCGTCTACACATATCCAAGTCTTGAATGCAAGTATCATATTCTCTTGTATTGCATAGTGTAGACACCCTACTTATATGAGTTTTAAAGAGAAATTATGTGACATCCAAGAAGATAAGTCCTTGCAAGAAAGTTAGAACACGTTCTATATTTCTACAAGTTTTTGGCTGTCAAGACACTGATAACACCGGTTTGACACAAAACATGTGCCCCGAAGGTGTGATAGTGTTGTTTTTACTATTATTTTCTGACTTTTTTTGTTACTGATTCAGTGTTTATGATCTGTAAATTTTAGTAAATGTATACAATATCTTGGTCAGAGGAACAGATCAATACACTGAAACACAGAAGAGCAAAGCAAAAAAAAAAATCCTAAAAAAACAACAGTTTTTCAAGTAGTCAAAATGGATTTTAAATGATCTTGTTCATTAAGTGAATAACTTTCATCAAATAAAGAATTTGCATAAATTTATCAGCTAAAAAAATATTTTTCTCACATTTTCCATTATTTTAAAAGAATGTACACATTTCATTTTCATTTACTCCATTGTTTTAAGCTAATTGCATCATTTTCCCGCTTTTTTATTCACATATTTTACAGAAACATGATAGAATTGCAAAGACAAAGGTATAAATCCTGGGCAATCTTAATTAGACATTTCAGTAAAACTTGTGCCTGATAAAATATTGAAAGGGCCATTTATTTAGCTTATCTAAATGTGACATGTAAGAAACTTGAATAGGTGTAGACGCGGCCTTAAATGAAGCAAGAGGATATAAATGAATTATACATGAACATGTCAGGGACTAGCCGTTGTTTTCTTAGGGAAGAATTTGACACTCATTGCTTAGTACTGGTTGGCTACAGGAACGGATACACAACTGTTTATATAGGGATATAGTTTTCTACACAATCGAACTAAACAAAAATGTTTCAGTCGACTGAAAATGAAAGAAAATTGTCGCTGGTATTATCGGAGATATTAGAAGATGTTGGTGTAAATATGGAAATAATTATGGAGAGAAGAAGTGCGTATATGCTGAGGGAGAGTATTGGAACTATTACGCGTAGGTCAGTTGGTGAAATCGTAAGTGTTTTCTATCTTGGAAGTCAGTCTGAAGGTTCCACTACTGGAGGACTTGCTTCAGATGTTGACATTCTGAATGTAGATCATAACTATAATGTGATACAGGACCACGACAAGGGCTGGTTGGAGTGGAAACAAAATAAGATAAATCTTCTAATGATACAGGATGAAAATGAAAATGTAACACCTGGATATTGTTTCCTACAGTTAATTCGATCTGATGAACCTCGCTTCGAGACAAACATTCCTAATGAAAATTATATCAGAGATAGAAAAGGAAGGATCTTATTGAACAATTATTTAAGGAATTGGACACATGAAGATGCCGAGAGACATGGTCCATCTAACGCTATATCTGGTTATGAAGGTTATAGTAACGTTGACATAGTAAAGGCCCTTCCATGTAATTCATGGCCAAAATCAGCTTCAAGTTTCCTTGAAAGACACGACGTAGATATATGGTCATCATCTGAAATCAAATTTGCTGCAAGCAACGGTTGTTTTGTTGTTGGTGTTAGCAGTAAAATAAGTACTTATCCGGATCAAGAATGGAGAATATCTACTTCCCTAGCAGAAAGATGTCTTATGTATAATCGAAATATAACACAATTTCACTGTTATGTGTTAATGAAAATTATTTTGAAAACCTTTTGGAACCCGAAACAAGAAAATGCTTTGTCTAGCTTTATGTGTAAAACTGTAATGCTACACTGTATTCAAAATAATACAGAACGAAACTTTTGGAAAAAGAACAACCTTGTTGCATGTTTAAGATTTTGCTTGCGAAAGCTTTATAGCTTTGTTCAAAATGACAATTGCCCGCATTTTTTTATTCCTGAAAACAACCTTATAGCCGGGCACTTTACACCAGAAGAGAAAAGTGACCTTTTATCGAAGATAAATGACACAATAAAGAGTAATGGAAGATGTTTGTTTCAAGTAAAAATAGATGATATTGGTCGAAGACTACAAGACAAACTGGGCTTTTATCGTTTAAGAGGTAATGAGATCCGCGATCCTTTCGAAGCATGTTCGAGTATGCTAATGTTTAATAAAGGTAAAGAAATAAGCAAATGTCAATTAATAGTTCTTGCACACATAGGCATATCTGCCGAACCAAAAGAAAAACTGGTGCAACTTCTTTCAAAGCTAGCATTCTATAGTGAACGTGGAAACAAACTGGAGAAACTTGCAATCAATCGTATTGTACCATTTATCTTTTCCACACTTGGGTTAATCATGGCATCGTCAAGTATTAGAGAGAATAATCCGATCCAATGTGAAGCATTAAAGTATATATCCTTGGGTTTAAACTCGGATGCAACATCTTGCAGGCTAAAATTAGCGTCAATGTTCTACTGTTCTGGTAATATGGAAACAACAGAATTCATTCTGAGACAAACTGAAATTCGATATGACCGTGATGTTTTCGAACATGTGTGTAATTGCTGGCGGTATCCATTTTCTGGTCTGTCTGAAAAATTTAAGAGAAGATGCCGGGAACATAGTACAGTTTGCCAAAATCAAGTTATATCATTCTGTATCCGATTCACACAAAATGAGGAAAATATTTGTCCGCAAGAGTTACGATATGAAATGGAGAGATCCTCGGAAAGAGATAAACCAAACAGAAGTCCTGAAGAAAAATTTTGGATGGACTATGCTGTGGTTGATCCTCACCCTTATCTCTATTTCCTGCAGTATAAGACTTACGGACATCTACAAAGACTCCAGGATCAACGAAGGGCACTAGGTAACTTTGAAAGGGTTGTGTTTACGGGAAAAAACTTTGGACATAGGGAGACGGCTCTTAACCTACTCGGCCAATGTATGGAACAAGAAAAAAAGCCAAAGGAAGCATTGTTTTATTATATATTATCTCTTCGTCAACGAGCAAAACACAATGTAGGGAATGTTCATATTTGTAATTTACTTTCAAAGTACGCCTCTTAATATTCAGTGGAATAAATAGCGCGTAGAGTCTCCACCTACAGAAAACTATGAAATGTCAGTTAAAGTGTACACTGTATTACAAGTTATTACAACGGTATAAGGATCATATAAATTTGCACTATAATTTATATATCTTCACTAATGTTGTGAAAATAACAGTGAAACCTTATTTAAAGATAATTTCAGGATATCAGAAATGTTGCAAATAAAGGTATTATGTTCAGTTCTGCAACCTGTGAGTTTGTTATCTGTCAGTACCCAAAGCACATGATATTATTTGACGTATACTTCATTTATGTCCAAAACGTATAAATAAATTTTCAGGGAATAACATACATGGTTTGCTGCCAAATGTTTGCATGACGATATTACTCAGTTCCCAATAAGTATTTGTATTTAGATGAGCAAAGACAAGAATGTTATTTAAACAATATTAATTACATGTATATTGGTTCCTGAAACTTTTTAAATTATCTATTCACGAAAAAACACGTCAGATATTTTCAAATGACGAACATACAAAATAAAAATGTAAAACATTACGATAATTTACTTATTATTCAAAGCATATATAATCATATATAATTATGATATATTACACATGTGTTTCTGCATTAATTATATGTCAGTGGGCCTTTAGATAATTTTAACATTTACGATGACGTCAACCGTCCGTCAAAAGGGACAATGTTGGAAATAAAACAAGTACATGACTGAAATAATAGCTTATATTATCAAAACACATAAGGATGTGTTGACATTTCAATTTAGATTAAAGTGCTTTATTTATCTATTAAATAATTGGATTTTAGGTTTTGTTTAGAAATAGATGTATGAATTTACTACTTTATTATTGTGAGAAACAATTCAAAACAAGTGAGGATATGATGACAAACACTTATAAAATGCCAAAGAAGGGGGAGTTAATTCTAACTGTTGTTTTATCTATGTTTATATATGTTATGTATACGATGTAGCAATGGAGATATGTGTTTTTGCAACACAATAAAGTTACATGAATCAAATAAGTGTTGGCTTGTATAATCATCAAAGACTAGAATGTTACACGAAGGATGCTACGTTATTGATATCTATGGGAAAACAAATAACTGACCATGAGTAAGCTTGACGATAGTGTTTAACACATAGGCACTCTAAGGGCCCGTCTACACCTATCCAAGTCTTGAATGCAAGTATCATATTCTCTTGTATTGCATAGAGTAGAATGAGTTTTAAAGAGAAATTATGTGACATCCAAGAAGATAATTCCTTGCAAGAGAGTTAGAACATGTTCTATTTTTCTACAAGTTTTTGGCTGTCAAGACACTGACAACACAGGTTTGACACAAAACATGTGCCCCGAAGGTGTGATAGTGTTGTATTTTTTTAGTATTTTCTGACTTTTTTTTGTTACTGATTCAGTGTTCATGATCTGTAAATTTAAGTAAATGTATACAATATCTTTGTCAGAGGAACAGATCAATACAATGAAACGCAGAAGAGCAAAGCAAAAAAAAAATCCATCCAAAAAATGATTTTTTCAAGTAGTCAAAATGGATTTTAAATGATCTTGTTCATTTAGTGAATAACTTTCATCAAATAAAGAATTTGCATAAATTTATCAGCTCAAAAAATATTTTTCTCACATTTTCCATTATTTAAAGGAATGTACACATTTCAATTTCATTTACTCCGTTGTATCATTTTCCCGCTTTTTTATTCACATATTTTACAGAAACATGATAGTATTGCAAAGACAAAGGCATAAATCCTGGGCAATCTTAATTAGACATTTCAGTAAAATTTGTGCCTGATTAAATATTGAAAGGGCCATTTTTTTAGCTTATCTAAATGTGACATTTAAGAAACTTGAATAGGTGTAGACGCGGCCTAATGCGAAAAAGCGTCTTAAACCCAATGACATACCAAAAAGATTATGGCAGATATTGCTAGCGATATTCTCTCAAGGAAGTTTTCTGCACATAACCCAGTAAAAATGTGCAATCTCTGCAGCATCATTTGTCCAAGATAACACTCAATTTGAGCAAAATAATTCATAACAGTTAATAACAGAAAATAATGCAACATCACTTACACAACCAAAATGCCGGGAAGTAATTAATTCAGCCGTTCCCAAACATTCTACCCCAGGAACAAAAGACAAAAAAACCCCATCTTATAGCACACGCAGTGGTCAGGAAGTGAAACCTTGTTGTACTGTGAGTAACAATTGTAAAAAAATAAATTAAAATTGATGCATAAAAACAATATTCATGGAGATATAAAACGCTCGACTATCTTTGGCAGAAAATAAATGATTGTTAAAAAATAAAATTTACTCATGAATTATTTATGGATTTGGGAATTGTAGAGTGTACACCTGTATGTGTCTTATCACTATTGTGTTAAGTCTACTTGATTGTTAAAACTTCCAACAACAAAACAGTCTTAACATTTAAGTCTTATAAAGGGGAACACATATTTAAGAGCGTTTCGTTTAATATGCGTTTACAGTAGGATATTTCAAAAAGAAATTCTCTTTGACTGACCATGAATACAATTAATTAGTTTATTTGCAACAATAAAGAGTTTTGTTATTAGACCGAGGATGTCTAACATCAGTTACGTGAAGATTGAAAGAAATGTGCTTTTTTATTAGTGAATTTTTAGGATAATCATTTTAAGTATTTTAAATAGTTGATATACAAGGGATCGAATAAAGCAATTAAAGTGGTTCAACGGAAGTTTCGGATATGTCCGTCGGAACTAATAGCTGAACAGAATGGGTCAATATTTTAGAAAGTTTTATTATAATACTTTAAAAAGTGTTTGATCATTTATTCATCAATTACCATTTGCTTCTATATTATACTTGAAAATACAAAGCATATCAAGGTCACCTTGACAGTAGATTTATATTATTAGCATAATATCACTGAAATAATTCTTAGAAATAAATATGTCAATACATACAATGAACACAATGTTCCTAATATTCAAATGAATGACATACAAATAAGTACTGCTTGTTTTAATTTTACCATGTTATGATTTACATAAAACTCTTGTGTATCCTTCGCTACGTCAATTTAGAACTGAGAAATTTATTTGCAAAAGTATTTTGTTTAAATTGCAATGAATATTACCACTAAACACTATTTGTATATCTACGGCAATATGCTTCTACAATTCATGTTATTTCTGTGAACACCTTTTAAAAGTATTATTTATTTTATAACTTGGCCACAAATTCGTTTACATTGATGCTTTGAAAAATGGCAATTATCATATAATGATATCGTAATATCTTATGAGATACTAGTAGTCGATCTCTGCAGCAGTATTTAAAAAAAACAACAAAAAAAAAAAACTGAAACATTATGTTGGTAAATTCGTAGCAGAAAAAGTAATTATTTTATTAAATGACCCCTTATGTAAAATAATTCTTTTCACTAAATCCAGGTGTGTGATTATGTTAAATCACGCAAAGAGAGCTAGCAAGTCAAGTTTTATATGAACAATTATGCACGGCAATATAAGCTGGTGTGTGAGTTTTCATAATCATGTTAAAATTATACAGTATCAATTGTTTGTATTAAGTTACAAAAATTCACCTCACAAATACAGATATTATATAATTAACAATGTGTTGAGAGTTATTGTTTTGTCATCCGGTCGTCCTGGAAAAGGAGCTGAAAGAGGCCAATACAACAAAGGAGATAAAATATGACAGTTTCCAAATACAACTATACAATTTCTGGTATCTAGGATGAGTTAAAAAAGCAAACTTTTCAATGAGTAATTAAGTAGTAAGATAAAAGGAATTGAATTATATGACAGTATCATCCAGTTCCTTTTTAATAAATTTGAGGTTTTTCGGATCAAGTTGATAGTTACATTTTTAACTTTTGTTTCATATTATTCGATTTTACGTTTTTAATCTATGTAAACAATCCATGTAACATTATTCCGCTTTTTAGCTCACCAGAACCGAAGGTTCAGGATGAGGTATACGTATTATTACGGGGATACCCGGGCGTCCGTTCGGCGTCCGTCGTCAAGCGTCAACATTCATCTTCTTTTCTGAAACCGCTGGGCAGATTTACTTTAAATTTGGTCTGTAGCATCCTTGTGACAGTCCCACTTAAATTTGCTCATATAATTTCAATTTTTGGAGCCAAAAAAAGAAACACATTGAAATATCTTCTTCTACTAAACTAATTGATGCATGATCACAAAACTTTGTCTGTAGCAATTTAAGGTAGTCTTTAATCAAATTCTCTCATATTAATTTGATTTGCCCCTTTTAGGAGCCTCTAGAGCTAAAAAAAATAGAAAAACCTCTAAACATCATCTTCTACTGAACTAACAAACGTTGTCTGTAGCATTCTTAGGTAGTGTTTTATCAAATTTGCTCATATTAATTTAAAGGGTTCCTTTTAGGGGCATCTAGAGCTAAAACTAGAAAAAAATGTGTTGTGAAAATATATAACTAGGGGCAAGTTGAAATTGAGCTTGACTTGGCTTTTGGCAAGTTCGTTTGAAAATATGTTTCTAACACTGATAAAATGTTGTTTCTGGTGAGCGATTCAGGGACATCAATTGTCTACGATTTAGAATTACAAAATACTGTAATGAAGAACAGTAATGTTATATACTTTAATAAAAACATATACCTGTTATATACTGTTATAAAGTACAGTTACCTGTAATATGTTGTCACCAGGAACAGTTTGCAGTAATAAAATGTTAATAGGAACAGTAAAATTGCAAAATACTGTTATTGGGAACCATTAAATGTAATTAACTTTAATAAGGAACAATAAACTGTAATGAATCTTTACAAGGACCGCTTTACAGGGACAGTTGAATTTATAATGTTGTTAATACAGACAATTAACTGTAATATACTGTTATAAGAGACAATTTACTGTAACTTACTGGACTAAAGAACAGTTTACTGTAATATACTGTTAACCTTTATATACTGTTATCAAGAATAGTGAATTGTACACTGTTATAAGGACAAGTTAAGTTTATATACTGTTTTAAGAGACAATTAATATTCTGATGGTATAGTGATACAAACCTGATCCGAAACGTTAATTACAGGAAACAATAGCGTTACCTGTCTCCGTGGACACGTATGACCAAACAATTGTTTCTTGTTGTGTTTATATTTCAATCATTCTATTGTAAAATTAAAAAAATACATATAAGGAGAAGGAGACAATTCTCTAACGTGTGTTTTTTTCTAATGGCCTGCTAGAGATTTCAAAATACATGCCAATAGGCATGCGCTTCAAATTTGTGATAGATACGGATGCGCCGTGGATTAGTGAAATATGTTCATACGCAGTAACTTGGAACGCCAGCTTCGGTGAGACGGAATTTTGTCCTGGATTGAATAACAAGTAATATAGATTAATACAAAAAGTTACGGTAAAAAGTACATTTTTGATTGTATTTTAATGTAAGACATTTCTATTTAATTTTATATATGCCAAAAGAATTTAACATTTTATAAGAGCTTTTTCATTACATCTGCATTTTTCAGTATATCCTGTATAAACTAGAAAACAAGTTGATTTAATAGAATTTTACTTTTCCTTTGAGATGAATTGGATAGAGCTGTGAGAACATAGTTCTGACTTCCAAAAACTTAAATAGCCGCCTTTTATGTCACATGGCACATATTTATTTTGGTTTCATTCCTGTGAAGTTTGGATGAAATTGGTCAGTTGTTTATGAGGAGATTCGTTTAAAGTAAAAGTATATGAACGCCGGACAGACATAGGACGAAAAGTGATCACAACAGCTCACCATGCCACTTTGTGACAGGTGGGCTAAAAAGTAAAGTAGTTATGATATTTCCTAAAAGAAATTCTAAGTTCAAAGAGAGATAAATCTGAAAATTTTGCTTCAAGATTTATGAACCTTGTCACATAAGATCTGGTTGATGATAAGGAATATGTATTA